AAGTGTAATTAAGGGCGAACAAAAAAAAGGTTGAAAATTTTTAAGGAAAAAAAATAAAATTTCTTAATTGTGCGTGCGTGCGTGCGTGCGCGTATTTAAATGTAAAAAATTTCGACGCAATAATATTCTGAGCCAAAATATTTATAATAGTTAATAATTACGGTTAAACGTATACATAAATATATAAATTAAACCTTGAAAACTGGATAAATGGTTTAAAAATCCCAATAATGTCATTTATCTTTCTTTCTTTCGAAAACAAACAAACAAACAAACAAACAATGACGAAAATGGTGGTGAATAATAATAATAATAATAATAATAATAATAATGAATGAGATGAAATCAATTCAAGGATTTACACGCGGAAAATAAATAAAAATAAAATGATAATGCGTATTTTATAAGTTTTGGCATTTTAACATGTCTTGAAAATAAATAATATATCATGTGTTCAGTGAGTTAAGGAAAAGCACAAGGTCGATTTTTTTGTTCAGACTTACAAGAACTCGATGAGGAATATGACGATGTCGTGATAAAAATCATTTTTGTAATGTCGATAGGAAAATTTAAAAAAAAAAAAAAAGCTTTTCTTCTTACCGATGATGTACATTGAATAACATCTCTGCAAGTATCTCCTTCTCCGGCTACCAGCCTAAACCATTCTCCGGCGTCTTTATCTTTGCAAATTTCAGTCTCGAATGATTCTTCTGTTTTTTTTGGTGCTTCTTCTTGTCTTTTGACACGTACTAGATTTGGTGTATCGTATGCCAAACCATTTGCTATAGAATAAAAAATAAAAAATTAAGCAAATATTTTTTATAACGATAATAATAATTATTATTATTACTCGTGTCAAGGTTTTTTTTATTACTGTTAAATGTTTATTATTATTATTATTATTATTATTATTATTATTAACCCTTATGTTTAATGACATAAATTTTTCCTTTTTTTTTTTTTACAAAATAAAGTTATTCGGAGTTTAACAATTAAATAACTGAAAGTTAAAAAAAAAAAAAAAATGGCTACGTTAACCGCATAGAAAATAATAAAACTCGTTGCTAGTTTTTTATTATTATTATTATTATTATTATTATTATTATTATTATTATTACCGAATAAATAAATTTTATTTATTTACATAACTCAAAGTGTTAACTTATCTATTAATAATTTTTTTTTTTTTATCTCAACCTATTAGCCAAACGAGTTGGAAAGTGTTCCATTTTTTTTTTTTTTTAATTTTAAAACTTAAAACGCGAAGATTAATTAATTACAAGTACATCGTCATACTCGAATTAATTTATGTCGTTCTCATTATTATTATTATTATTACCGATATTTTTTGTTATTAAAAAAAAAACCTGATCGCTATGAGGAAAAAAAAAATTTGTTTTGTTTCCCCTCCCCCCTTCATCCTCCTCGTCATTAATAATAATAATAAAAAAAGAGAGAAAAAAATACGTAGTAAATTATTTTACATAAATAAAAATAAATAAAAAAAACGGAGAAATTGATTACATAAATATTAAAGTTGATAATAATAATGATAATGATAATAATAATTTAATGCCGTATTAAATAACAAAAAAAAAACAAAAATTTCTCCGATTGAAATATATATATATAAGATGTACACGTAGTAGTTAAATAAAAGGTTGCATTAACCTAGAAAGTGGCCACTTAACTTTTGAAATTTTTTATTCTGTTACGTCACAAATTAATTTTTTTTTTTTTTTTTTATTATTGCATTCGTGTTTCCCCTTCCTTACCCCCTCCTCTCCTCTCCTCTCCCAAAAAAAAAAATAAATAAATACGTGCCGTAATTTTAATTTATTAATTAATTTAATACAAAAAAAAGGAGCGTGTTAATTAAGCAATACATAATTTTTTGAATGAAATTTCCTTCCCCTTCTTTCTACCCCCCTCCCCCTCCCCGTAATTTTTTTTTTTTTAGTCTGCCATTTTATTAGAGCACGTAAGGGAAATAAAATAATACGTAACGATTTTCGTAAAAAAATTAAAAAATTAAAAAAACTTTCTAATGCCTTGAATTAAATAAAAAAAAAAAAAAAATTAAAAAACGGTTAAATAATTTTATAAATATACAAATTACATGCAACTGGTCAAGGACGTTAAAAACAAGCAAAAAACAAAAAAAAATTTTTTTTTTTTTATAGTTTGAAACCTGTCAGCTAATGACACGACGATTTTTTTTTTTACGAAAAGACAAAAGTAAAAATTTGTAGGGAGGAAAAAAAAAAAAAAAGATTTCGTTTCATCCGAAAAATTATCATTATTATTATTGAGTAATAATAATTTTATAATGTTTTGAATTATTATTAGTATTATTATTATTATTAGTATTATTATTATTATTATTAATTGAAAACTTGTAAATCATAAATGATGCTAACTCATGTGACATTAACGGGAATCCCAATTTTTCGTTGTTTCATAATAATAAAAGGAAATCATTTTAAAAAATTTTTTTTAGGGGGGAGGGTTAAACCGGTCGGTGACGTCACGTAAAAAAAAAATATTACGCGCGTACAAAAACGTTTACACGCACGATCATTTAATTATTTTATTAAATAAAAATCAACGCAAAAAAAAAAAAAAAAATCCGCATTGCTGATCGATAAAAACGAACGGGTATTTAATTATATTTAATCACGTGGGAAAATAAACAAAATTGCTGAGAGCAAATTTTTTTTTGCTTTCGTTTAAAATTAACAAAAAAAATTTGCTTCGATTCAATTTGGGGAAAAAAAAAACCGTTTGCGATTTTTTACACAAACACAAATCGAAATTTTTTAAATTTAATTATCGATTTTAAATAATTTATTCCCTTTCTCCCAACCTTTTTTTTTAATTTTTCCGCATCAATCAATCAATCAATCAATCAATTTATCGATCGATCGATCTCGTATTATCATTATTATTATTATTTATTTATTTTTTTTTTTAACGAATTCATCGTTTACGTAATTTACCCAATCGTTAGCAGAAAAAAAAAAAAAAAAAAAAAAAAACATAATTTCCTTTTTACGAGTGATTAACATCGTTAATAATAATAATGATGATGATGATGATGATAATAATAATAATAATAAT